CTATTAGTAAAACATATGGGCTACAAGTCATACTTGTGCTTTGTAAAATATTCAGAATATGCAAGACATTTCAAACAACTTAGTTTCATTATAAACATACATAATACACAACAATTGTTAGCAAATGAGAATCAAAACGGTGGGGCTGCAGGCTGCTCACTCTTCTTCTGGCTCTTCCTCTTCTTGGAGAAGATTTTCTCTGTTGTCATGTGCCCAGAAACCACGTACATCAATAAGCATGCTAGCCACTGTCCCACCTTGTTTACATTTAAGGAGATCAGCAAGTGTTATCTGTAAGGGATCTTCTGGTTTTACCATATCCCATATCTCATCCCTCACATCCTCAATACACAGTTCATAGTTCCCTCCTTCGATCCATTTCTGATGAACATCTCTGTTTCAGAGACAAGGAAAAATTCAGTTAATTAATAATAGCTTCTCTAGGAAAGGAAAAGGGAATTGCTTCTTGCAAAGGATAGGTAGCACACAACACTTTCCAAGACCATAACAGTAAAGCTGCATGATCTTTGGTTGTATTTCAAGTGGGCAGTGATATGGGCCTTGTAGAACTAATTCGCAGAACAACTAGCAAACAGTTCAGAGTTTTATGTAGGAAGTGTGTATCAAGTAACATCTCCCCTTTAGATGTTCCCCTTCTTTTCTTCCATGATAAGCTGAAGATACCAAAAATCATTTGTAAAGAATTTGGGATGGGGGGAGAGAGGGAATGGGAATTTAGTCAGATAACCGTGGCCTTAAATAAGTTTACAATACTATGTTTCTGCTCAAATGTACGGTAATTTGAGACTTGTAGAACTAGTCTGCAGAACTACCAGCAGGAAATTACAGAAATTTTTGTAGGAAGATTGTATCAGGTAACATCTCGCTCTAGGATGTTCCTTTCTTTTCTTCCATGTTCAGCACACAAAAGAAATAGTAAACATCAAAATCAAACACTAAATAGCATTAATGAGTTTTAAACTCATGGACCATATTAATTCAATAACACTGCATGATGAAATAATCCCATACTAGACAATGTTTACCTGAAAAGTGTGTGAATATCTGCTGTTGTAAGGAATTTCCGACCATTTAGATCAAGACAACGAAACAAATATGTCAGCCCTTCTGGTGTGTCTTTGTTTTCCAGGGCTAAAACAAAGTCAAGAAAGCATTCAAAATCCATCTCCCGCGTATTACCCACTCCACCTTTTCCACGACGGACGTGCTCATCAAACGCTGTTGAAATGATAAACAGTAAAAAAGAATGTCATAACACAATAAGGTATCTTCAAGCCACATGAGCAACACCAAACATAGAAATAAGGACAATTAGAGAACTACCGCATAAGAGTCATAAAATTGTATCATAAAATAAAATCAGCTGAGGAATCAAAAGAAGTCATTTTTTAGTGGTGATGCAAAATTTAAATTCCAAAATTATTAAGAGAGGATCGATTTCTAACCCCGCTCAATAAAAATTTCGGTCAGTGTCCCATCAGCATATTCTCTAAGCTCTTGCTTGCTCAACGTCCCATTCATGTCTTTATCAAGAGCCAGAAACATATCTGCATGAGAATGGTAAGACTGCATGAGAGAAGGGAGAATTAAAAAGACATTATAAACACCACAAGAGTGTATCAAAATGCTGGTACAATGCTTCGTTAGCAGCCAACACCACGATGGCATGATTATAAATTTTTTACCTTGGATAGAAGTTGACTAAATAGAGGTTTCGAACACTTTCTACAAATCTTTGTATTTCTAATTACGATTCATATCTCAGGACAGGTATAATGACATTGAACAACAATATCAGGCGACAAAATAAAAACAAAAGTTAAAAAACTAACAAATTCAAGCATGCAAGAAAATCAGGAGAGAAAATAAAAAGGCATCAACCTACTTGCATCTATTTTAGACAGACAACCCAAGTTCAAATCTTGGATTGTAAATTCTATTCGTTATATAAAATAAATTAAGGAATGAACAGACTAGGAAGCTGTCCATTGCTATCATCCTGCTCCTCAAATTTCAAGTAATGTGGGGTTTTTCCCTATAGGAACAGAAGACATATATGCTAAGGTGATTTCTATCTGAAATGATAGTTTACGTCATTTAAAGTTGTAAACCTCACAAATCACTACATGTTCCTATGTTGTGAGCAAAGAGCCAAAGAGCTTAGACCTCATAAACAGATCCTTGTGACAGTCATAACAAGGCTCTACCCCTTTAATTTTTGGTGAGAGGTAAATGATCATTTTATTCATAGCAAGATAATAAAGCATAAAAAAAGTACAAAAGGACCGAGAGATTAGCCCGAAGCTCGAATTTGTTTGAAAAATAATATATGAGAATATGACCAGCTAATTTGCCATGGACTCAGCATTAAGTTTGCAAGACTGAAACATATATAACAGAGAGGGGAGTTGTTTGTATTTAGAAATCAATATATGAGTTGCATATGATGGTCTCGTTATACAGAATGCAAACAATCTATACTGTGGGAATAATGCAAGAGATCTTACAGGAATGTAGATTCTTGTACTTCTCACCCAGTATAAACTGGTACATTATGTTCACAAACCTCATTTTGAAGCAAATTTAAAGACTTAATTAACTGGGGGCATGTCTGATTTTATTTAGGATATATCATATACTTCGTTATTTTTATGATGTAATTTCTATTTTTGGGTTCATCTAATTATAAAAAAATAGATATTATTCAGTTTCTATTTCAGTTAAAATTGTTCTTAGGAATAGTTTCTTGTTTATCAAACCTTCAACACTATAATAAACTTGTAGGCCTAAGGCTAAAGTGGTGTTCTGTTCATCATTGTAAAATGTAGAGTTTTGTTTAAGTAAGAGTTTTCTCTTCTTTTCTGTGTGTTTGATTCTTAAATGCAGGTTGATTACAAGAGAAAATTTGTCACCCCTTCACAAATTTGTAAGATTTGAGTCCAGTTGTACCATACAAACCACCAGACACAACCGGTTTTTAATTCTTCAGTGTCGTGTCCATATCTTTATTTGCACGACAGTGCATCGACGTTACAAAGACAAACTATTATTCGGGATTCACAAAGGAATAAAATAATGCAGCATTATGATGTATATCAAATATGGTACATGATGCAAGAGACAAGGTTCATAAAGGAGGAAGATTGTGCAGCATTAAGGGAATAAGGCCACCACTGCAGTTGCCGAGAAACACTTATACCAGCGAACTTGCAACATACATATAGTCATTTAAAATATAATTGTTATATGAATAATAGAAGATATGAAGTACACACCACATATTCTTTGTGCAGATGTTAAAGAAAACCAGTTCTCTGCTTGCTCTGTATCAGTCACTTCTTCCTCACTTTCCTAAACCACATTACATACACAAAAAGCCATCAAATTCAAATATATTAATGTGTTAAGCCAATGAAAGTATGATTCAACCAATCCCAACTTGTGAGCCCATATAACAAGCAATTCATAAATATGAGACAAAGTATTCATTTACATAACCAGAGTTATTGAATTATTTTTTAATTAAATGCTTATTTGTTCACTTGGGTGCTTGTAAGGTAGGAGAGCACGCCACATGATGGAAGTTCATAAGTGGAACTTCTTTCAGGGTATAAAGAGGTTCAGTCATCCTGTTGCCTAATCTGTGTTACATTTTTCTAGTTTTCATTCATAAACAATATTCTATTTAGCATTGCACTTCAATTTACAGAGATCACTAATAGTAATACTTATAATCTAGTTTACCTCTGAAAAAAATATATCAATATGAGAAGTGTCTTCCTACCCAATCTTTAAACAACAAGAGTGCAACACAAAGAGGGATGTAGTACCTGATGAAGTTCCATGAGTTCTTGAAGACAATTACTTAGCAAAACCTTTTTTATACAAGCTTTCCCTATCAAAATGTAAAACTTATGGTTAGAAATGTTGAAAACTGCATGCGTCAGTATGCAAAGGAGCAGCCAAAACGGCAACCAAGTAATAGTGAAAAATAAACAAATTATAAAGACAATGATAATCCATTTAATTATTCATATAGACAGTTACACACACAGTAACACCGAAGTGTGCACACAAAAAAACATACAACAAAACAAAAGGAAACCAGTATTGCAGATGTAAATATCGGACTTAAAAACCACCAAACTGTCCTATCACACCAGGATTTGAATCATACAGATACTAAATCAAAATATGATGCATGGTGACAAACCTCGTCTATGTGGGTCACAAAAGAAGAAGAATTTGCGGGATGCTATGCGACAGTACATGGGAATAAAACCATCAGGCATATCCCGTAGTTGTGCCAAATTAGGGATAAGCCCTTTTATGTAGGCCTCCATTTCCTGAAAAAGAATAACGTATGTAACGATATTATACACAATGAATACACTAACTGTACAAAACAATAGCAAAACAACAGGAATTAACTCCATAGAAGTACATATTTTAACAGTTCAAAGATCAAAGAGTTTTAAGAAGAGTAAATGCACTAGAAAGTGAAGAGATGCATACATGGGACTGAAGGAAGCCATCAGAGTCCTCATCAAGCTCACTCATATCAATTCGTGCTTGAGTAAGTGAAACCTGAACAACAACAATGAGTTGTTAGTGCCTTAATGGTTGTACAAACCTGACGAGCTAAAAAAAAACTCCATGCTTTGAAGAAAACTATACTAAATAAATTTAAGAAATGGGAAACAAAGGAGAAACTAGAGAAAATCTAGAACTATATCATGCCAAAATTCAGCTTTTGTACTCTAGTTGTAAATGAAGCAATAAGAAGCATGTTTTAAACTCCACTATAGAACCTCCATATTAATCAAAACTTCATCACCATAATATTCTGACTCACATTTATGGTAAGAAAACATATAAAATTTGGGAAAGGCGCATATAAAGCGTACATGAGGAAACTAAGTAAAAGAAAATGAACGACAACACAAGAAGAGGATATCCAAGTGTAACCAAGTAATCAATACAAAAACTTGGCACTTTAGTCGAATTTAATAATAGTAAGAATATTGATGGAAACAAAGAATACTATAACAGATAAAAATATGTCGAATTTAATAATAGTAAGAATATTGATTCTAGGTTTTGTTTGGATCTCCTTGACTCCTTTCCATGTTAAGGGGGGATTTCCAATAAATATGTTTATGATTAGAAATACACGAAGTGAAGGTGAAGCGCACAACAAAAGGTGATCAATCCTTACACGGAAGAAAAGGTATGATTGTATGTATTGTACAACATCGTTTTGAGTTATACCAAGGTGACAATAAAAGCAAAGATAAAAATGTCATTCTTAAACATATTTTGGTATTCAAGGAAGCGGATTCTTCCGTGAAATCCAATCCTCATGCATAAGAATGGTATAAAATATTTCTATTGGATTTAATATATAAAACTGAGATAATTGTTTACATATATCAATCTGATAATTTCAGGACTAGTTTCTACAATCCACTAGAACATATACATAAATTACAGTATAGATAAGCTTGAAGAGGTAACTTGTGAGAATTTCTTTGCATGTAATGTCTTTTTATCAATACAGATTTTATTGCTTTCTTAAAGAAACAACTGCTACATCAGTATATTTAGCCCCTTGCAGAAATGCCAGACTCCCC